CTTCCCTTTACAAGTAACGTTTTTTCTTTCTTTTTCTTTCATAGGTTTACATGTTCTTTTTTACATGCTCTGAGTTGCCACATGAAAGTTCTTGCTAATATTTTTCCATTCAATGTTTAGAAGAATTAAGAGACCACTAGTATGACTTCATGCATATCTTTATTCTGAAGGTGTTCTATGAAGGCTTTCAAGTGGTAAGAATCACGGCAGGGAGGGGGAAAGAAAGAAAAAAACCAGTTGTTTTTACTAGGTTTGGGTAGGAATTTGTATGGTCTGTCTGCTCAGCTCTGTCAGGACTGAGGTGCTTTTGGAATTACACCGAGGAAAAACTTTCAGCACTTGAGAATCCATTACGACAAAGAAGCAGAGGCAACAATGATGATTTGAAGTGTTCTAAGTGTGCTGAGGTAGATGAGCAGGGACTTCTAGAACTATAAATTCTGACATAAGTGTCTCCTATCTAAGTCATGCGTCAGGTATAAACTCAAAACAGTAATAGTTCTATATTGCTTGGTTGCAGTGAAGAATAGACTTTTTTTCCCCCTCCATTTTCTCACCACCCTTTTCACAAACTTGCAGCCTATTTCTTGAGAAAAAGTGTGAGTTGGGTTTAAAAAGGCTTCCAGAAAGCCTTTTCAGATTATTTCTAGAATTTGACCAGTGTTCAAACGCAATGTATTAATTAACTCATCCTCAAATTAGGTGATTCTTCAGGTCTTTTCATTTACAGTAAAATGTATTTTATCTTTAGAAATTTTGGGAGCACCCTCTTGAGTGAAGTGCACATGGGTGATGCATGGCATGAGGGATGTAGTCCATATGCTGGTGTGTGACTCACAGGGAAGAATGTTCACAGTGCAATGGAATGCTGTCAGTTTATCCTGCTTTTCTAATTTGAGTTCATTTGCTGTAGTTGCTCTTCTGGAAACATGATCAACTTTAAATTAGTGCTCGAGTCACCTTTAACAGATTTGTATACTTAGCTGAAAGAAAGCAAAACCCCATGACATTTTTCACTTTGCTCTGTTGCAGTAATCCGTCTTGGCTGGAGCATAAGACTGAGCCTATAGATGTTAAGTGTGGTTTTATCTGTATGTGTACTGAGGTAGTTAGGATGGGAACACAGTCTGTCAGAAATCAGTTTGCATTTATCAGAAATCAGTTTGCATTATTCCAAACTTTACTAGTTCCAGAACAAATACAAAGTGCCTTTTTGAGACGTGTCATCAGGAACGGATGTTAATGAGTCCAGACAATCAGTGTGCTCCAGGACCTGCCGACCATGTCATGCTCATTCCCCATAACTGCAGGGAATGGGCTTGTCCAAGCATACACAGATAATGTTGTCTGTGTGGTCTTTGAAAGTGCATCTGTATGATTCCGAAGGTCCTTACCAGCTCTGGGCACTGTCGAGGTGAGAATTGCTGTCTTAGGAAATGCTGGGGGTGTGCAGAAGCTTTTGATATCGACTCCTTTGTTTGTTAGGAAGGATCTGTACCTTTGAATCCTAACTAAGGGCTGGTTGCCTCCAGACAGGAAGAAATTGGCTTCCAAGTGTTCGTCTAGGGATTCTCCCTGCCTTACAGCTCTTCTTGTGTGTTCTTCAATCCACTTTAAAACAGTATTAGGAATTTTCATTCATACCAGCACAAACACATGTTCATTGAAGACAGTGGAGGCCCTGCACCTGTGCTACCTGCTGACTTTACAGTCGTCATCCAAAGTAACCACACAGCACTTGAGGATGGGGTTCTCTGTAAGTCATAGTTATTTTTTTGTCAAGCACATTACTGTTCCCAAACAAAGGGAAGATATGATCAGCAAGGATGGTTGCCTATGCTGAAGTTAAAAAATTCTGACCAATAATGAGTGAAATAAACTGCATGTTATATCCCGAGCAACGGCCAACTAAATCACCCCTGATTATTCCTGACATCAGCCTCTGGGATACCCTCTTTCCTCCTGAACTTTGTGCTCTGTGAAGAATTTACAAAATAAAAAATTGCCAACTGCTATTCAAATGATAAGTGGTGCATGCTAATTACATTTTATATGGTGATTAATTAAAAATAACCATGCAAATGTCTAATTTAAGAGTCACTCAATTCACTAAGTCTTCAGACACTGCCTAGCTGCCCTAGGCATTTGGTGGTTAGGCATTTATTCAAGCTTTCAAAATATTCTCAAAAAGTCCAAGATAACGAAGGTTCTTGAAAAAGTTCCAGCTAGCTTGGAATATATAAACAGAGGTTTCAGAACAGTAAAATAGCACTGCATATATTTGCATTTTTGAGCCAAAGTACTCTGTGTACATAAAAATAGACCAGGAAAGGAATAATAGAGATCCTAAATAATCTGAATATTTAGCTGCAGTGCATAGCAGAGTAGTTCATAGATTATTTCAGGACCTGAAGAAAATTAAATATAATCTTACTTAAATCTAACTTCTTTACATAGTAAGTGTTTGATTCACACATAGACTATTTGGGTATTTGCCTTATTCACAAATATATACAGGTGTATCAGGAGAACTATGTCATAACTGTGACTTGGTTCAAGTATAGTGAACTTTAATCAGTGGAGTATGCAATTTACAGAACAGATTACAATGGCCTAGCATATAGAAAAATAAAATATACAATGTGACGAACACTTTCAGAAAGTAATGAATAAAATTCTGCGGAAGAATAATTTACCATCTTCACTAATAGAAAAATAATGTTAATGCCTTTTTTTTGGTAGAATTTTTATTGAATTTTATAAATAGATAACAAAAACAAACAAACAAAAAGAATTTGTCCAAGAAAACTCCTGCACTTGATTGCATGTTTCTGCTTATGTAGAAAATGGTACTGCAATGAATATTGACACAATTCTACCTAGACAAAATACTTGCTGTTTCTGTATGATGCAAGAGAATTTGTGTTGTTCCACAGTATCAGACTCTCAAAACTAACCTTTTAAAATTCATCCGCAGAGATGAATGAGTTTTAGTTTATTACAAATGGTCTTAAAAGCATAATCTGCACTACAGTACAGGAATAATAGATACAGCCATCTTGAAGAAAACAATGATGGCGTAAAGGCATTAGCCATGCCATTCTGGACCAGTTGGGAACTGTTTCAACTCTGAAACTTTTTCAGTAAACTCTATGTATACAGCAAGTTTAACTGCAGGAATATTCTGGTATTTAACCAGAGAAAATTTAGATCTATAAATGCAGAATACACTTATTTTTCCATGCACTGGGGATGTTTCACCTGCTCTCTAAATATTCAAAATATATTCTTCATGTTTCAAAAATACATGTAAAATATAAAGCACATATACAATACATTTCAAAAATAACAGATACTTTTTTCTGAGACTGTTTACAGAAGGCTAAAAATGGAGTCATAAGCTTCTGTGTCTGAAGACATTCCTACCTGAAAACACTTCACAAGCAGAAAAGAAAAATTAATTAGTTGCAGCAATAATTATGAAGTATTTCTCCAGATTTTATAAATAGCAGCATTTTTTGCCACATAAAGTGAAACAGAATAGCTGAGATTATATAATGACGCTTTCTGCTATTCTCTAAAATGAGTCTCACACACAGAATAAATATTTTACTTTTGAATGTTTAAATAGAGTTTACTGTTTAAACACTTCACATAGCAGCTACACAGAATCATGAATAATAAAGATGGAAAAAACATAATGTGGTATTTTTTTTTTAGTTATATTTTGTTCATACAAACAGGTTACCTGTTTCATTTAAAAAAATAATATATTTTTTTCATTTTTACTTCTGAATGACTCTACTATTTCAAGTGATGCAATTCAGGTTACTTCCTACTGGCAACATCCATTGTAGGTGCATCGACACCAGATGCATGTGTCTACCAAATTCCCTCTTTGTGTGTCCAGAAATTATGGTTGGTGTCAGTTATTCTGATAGTGTCCACAAATTACAAGAGGTTTTTTAGTTTATTGATGACCTGCCAGTGGAGGTGTCTAGTGTAGTTTGAGACTTTACTACAAGATACATCAAATGTTGTACTAATTACAGGGAAGTATTTAATAAGCTCTGTCATCTCATAGTATTCTCTAGTTCCAAACTAAGTTACTTCATTGAGCTAAGATTCTGGGTTTTTATAAGGAGTACATTTAATCTGTAAATTCTTTAACTTTGGATGAGGTTTATAGCATGTGTATAGCTTTGTCCAGATTTGCAAATATGGCTCGGACCCAGTTTTTGGACTCTTAATGATCAAAACCTCTGTTTTTTGAAGTGGTTATTTTTTTCCAATAGAAATTATCCATATAAAAATACCCTGAATCTCACCCATAGCCCAATAATTAAAATTGATATCTTGTTTCTCCAGAATGTTTGAATGAGAAACTAATTTAGAAAACTTTTTAAAACTTCCATAAAATAATAAAATATCTGATGGAAAATACAATACATACCTTCAGCAAAATATTCTATTGCTCTCCTATGTTTTGATCAAATTCACCCACTCTGAAAGTGTCTCAGATTAGTTACATCATAATGTTAGTCAGAATCAGTCATGATCTCAGGTGAAAATCAGTGACCATTGGTTGAATATCTGCAGTATGTAAACCAGAATATTTCTATAATTTCTCTTTCCGTTTCTCATGTATTTTTGGACAGTCACAGGAAGTATTATTGCTGCAGTATCATAAGTATGCTTAATTCCACTTGCTATCTGGCAGATTGACTGTCAGCATGGAAATCATTTCCTGGGAAACTTGAAAAGTCAATCGAACCATTGCTGAGAACCAACACAGTAAGGAATAGAGTTGTTGTTTTCAGCATAGCACTATGCTTTCGGCACTAATAAGGCCTGTTTCACATTTGTCAGCAACACAAGAGATCTGGCTAGGGCCACTAAGCAGTCAGTGACTCAAAAGCATCAATGTATCATCTTCCAACTGCACTCTTTTTGTTTAGACAGTGATAAAAGACAAGACTCAGACTCTTCAGTTTCCCTCTGTCTTTCTGCTGGAGCCTGCTAGCTCCTGTTTCCACCCCATCCTGGCAGGCCCTACAGGTATGGTTCCACCTCGGGCTCTGTGTGGGCATAGGCAGCCAATCTGTGAAAGAAAGGTTGCACCGGGCAGATGTGAACTCCATTTGTCTCGGACACTGTCTCCTGTGTGTATACAACAGCTACATTTAGCCTGCAGAACAGTGTGATTCAACCAAGTTGATAATTCTGATGAGCCCTAAATAATGCTGTTAATCAAACCACTGTTTCAATTGCCTGTGACTGATCTTTTCTCTTCCTTTTCTTTTTTTCTTGGCAAATTTTAAAATTTGAGTGAAATGAGAAGCTGTCTAATAGGATGTCTCATTGACCTTGTTCTCCCTTTTCTTTGAGAGCATACAAATGTTACGTAACCGTTAACATATAAAGAATGCAAACAAAACAGGTGTTTATATTTCAGAACAGTAATGACAACTCTACCTCTTTGCAATTCTTTTTTCCCATGCTTTATCCTCTGAATCAGTTTGAAAGAATTTTTATGGAAAAACTGAATATAAAAAATTCTGCAGAGAAAAATATCTAAACATTTTGTAAGCTCATTTGCCCTTTTCACAGACCCTGTTACCATAACAACTTGAACTGTTGCTATAGTAATATTCTTTTATTATGAAACACAGTATTTTTTGTAGGCAAGATATTTTCATAAGCACCTTGACCTTCAAAATTAAAGTCATCTAAAATATTTTCTGGAAAGTGTTTCATAGGACAATATATGCAAGGAATAATTTTGGGGGAAAAAAGGAAGAGGTGTTTTTATCCCTTTGTGAAATTTTGTCTTGCTTTTGCTGTATAATAAGAAGCTGCTCCCGGCTCTTACTCTAGGTCTCCAAGGATAGAAGGCTGCATTCCAAAGAGAGACTTAGCAAATAAATCAAAGCAGTTAAAAGTTAGGTTCTCTAGAGTAAGTTGTTTTTTTAGAAAACAAACAAACAAAAATTTTTAAAAACCCACCTGAAACAATACAACTAAAGTTTTCAGAGGGATGTTATTTTTAAGCAAGGTATTTTGAAGAACTTAGATATAAACTCTATCAGAATTCTAATGCTTGTTAAAAAGAAAATTGGATTAGGAGGTTGCTTATACAAATTAGGTATTTTAATTTCATTGGGTCTGATTGTATTTCTGATATCTATTGTTATACTCATCTTTTCCCCACAGGTGTATCCTACCTGAGGGCCACTTATTTTGAAGATGGTGAGAGGTGAGAAATGTGAACTGCTCATGTTCCCCCATTTTGTAAGTGAGCCTTTAGCGTGTAGGCTCTGTGCAAGAGGGTATTGTCACTGATCTGATAACAAGTGATTGCTACCAATTCTTTCCGTTAGTGTCATCCTTTAAAACATAAAAGACAAAATTTAAGACCATTGAATAGAGGCCTTTGGGGTATTTACCAGAAGAATGTGTTTTGTGGCTCTTAAACAAACTGAACATAAGTGCTGAGCAGTGCAATAATTTTTTTTCAGAACTAGGACATATGCAAGAAATTTTAAGATCAAAAACTTCTTTAGAAGATAGTGAAATTAAACTGTGTTATAAGATGGAATCTGAGAAAATTTTGATGATTGTAATTTTGTACTTGGACTGTTAGAAAACTCCAGCCAAGTCCTGATTCCAATGTCTTCCTTCCTCGTGTTAGTGATTACAGTTCCAGAAACGTTATGTGTTAGTACATTTTGTCTGTGACATCATGCAGAGACTGTAAGATATCTTTGTTCTGAAATAGTGTTCAACAAGTACAGTATCTCAATATTGAAGTTTTCTGAATATCTCTTTTAGATAATGGTGTTTCGGTGGAGCCAAACTTACATCCTCCATAATGAAGCTGCTAAGCTGGTTAACTTATCTCTTGTTCATACACAACTTTTTTTGTTGGATTTTGTGTAGAAGAACTGCATTCATTCATCAGACACTCTTTATCTGAGCAATTTTCCACTTCTCTAATTACGAATGTATTGACCTATGCATATGTAACAATGCTAAGAATGCTGGAGGGCATCTTTGATTTCATTTTAATACCATAATTGCAAAATCTACAGAAGTGTTCATATTCTATAAAGAAGGCCTACAATGCACACGTTATGAAGGACTTCCAAATTATATTTTTATTTTCTGTTCACATATTTTGCACTTTTTTATTATTTCTTCATACTGTACAGCCTTTTAAAAATTATTCACACTTTCAGCAATTGTGCTGATAAAACACCAAAAGGACTTCTACTACTGTCTTTTGCTATTTTTCATTTTTATCTTACCATCACTATCTCATTACTCAATACTGTCTAGTCTGACACGATGTAATAGGTCTTCAGGATGGAGTGCTAGCTCTCAAGTAGGTATGAGACCATTTTCATAGTATTTATCTCTATAAGAGTATGTCTACTGTATAGATACTGTATAGACATTTATGTATGCATAACACATTATTAGTTATATATATATACATAAATTCATAGTGGGCATAGCACCCAATGTCTACATAATGTTCTGTTTCTATATAACATCACAGATAAACTGCTGGAGTGGTCTGTTCAGCCTGGAGAAGAGGAGACTGAGGGGAGACCTCATCGAACTCTACAATTTCCTCTTGAGGGGAAGAAGAGGAGAGGCAGGCACTGATCTCTTCTCTGTGGTAACCAGCAACAGAACCCAAGGGAATGGCCTGAAGTTGTGTCAGGGCAGGTTTAGGTTGGATATCAGAAAAAGGTTCTTCACCCAGAGGGTGGTTGGACACTGGAACAGGCTGCCCAGGGAAGTAGTCACAGCACCAAGCCTGACAGAGTTCAACAAGTGTTTGGATGATACTCTCAGGCTCATGGTGTGACTCTTGGGGATGGTCCTGTGCAGGACTAAGGGCTGGACTCGATGATCCCTGTGGGTCCTTCCAACTCAGCATATTCTGTGATTCTGTGAAATTTGTAGTCGCAACATAGACACGGTTAACTGATAGATCTTTGTTTAAATAATGTGAAAATTTATCTTTTACATGGTGAGAGCAAAAGTTCAACAGAGATTACTAGGTTTTCTGATAAGTTGTTATAAGAAAACTATTAGGTCTTTGGTTTTACTTTTTACATTAGGATTATACTACATTCAACAAGGCTTTAAGTAATGTTTATCTGTTAGATCTTTTTCTGCCATGAAAGATCTAACATGACCAGGATCATATTCAGTGTCAGTTACCCATATCTGGAAATATTTAATTGTTGTTATTGGAAATAATGAGGGTGTTCTTACAACAACAAAAATTAATTTGTGTAATAAATTATGGGAAAAATCAAGTCACCTCTATAAGATCAAATTCTGATACTGACATGGGGTCTGTAGAGAAATATGTTTTATTCCCAAATATGTCGCATGCACAACTTGTTGGAATATAAAATTGTGCTTACAATGCTGTAGGGGAAAATTTGGGCTCAGGAGCGAAAAAGCACTCCTACTTGCAGAAGCCAGGCATAGATACAACTAACCCAAGCTTGGCACTGTATATTTCTTCTCTCCCTGCAGCAACATCGTGATCAATGTCATGCAGAAAATCTGAAACAGTGGAAGGGTTCCAGTACTGTGTTTGCGAAAGGTGGTAAGATCTGTAAGTCAGTCTGTGCTCAGGTTGGAGCAATGTAGCTGTGCTGTATAAAACTAGATGTCATTCAGCTACTAATATAGATGCCTGGAGCAGGGCTTAAGGCAAATGCTACGCTGTAACCTGCTCTTTAACATACATAACTCCTAAAATTTAATGTTAGAGAGGCCAGGAAACGGGGGACTGAGGGCTTAATAAGTGGAGAAAGTAGATTGACTTGATTTTTTGTACTATTGTCTATTTATCCCCTTTAAAAAGTTTGCACAGAAGGAATCTTGTGGGTTCCCCTTTTCTCTTCCCATATCTTTTTTTTGCACTAGAGGTATCGTAGTAATGGTGTTTGCAAGTCTATGCTGTCCTTTGCATCTGAGATACTAAAAATGCTAATTAACGAGCTTCCTTTGCAGTCCCACCTTCCTCTTCATTTCTAAGCGTTCTGTAACTCTGCCAGAAGAGTCATGCAGTACTTGTCAAATAGGCGCATTAAGAATTAGCTTGTATTTTCAGGGTCAGTTTGGAGAACTCTTTTTTTTTTTCTTTATGTTATGCACTTCCTAAACATAGTCAAGTAATTTTTGGGGTCTTGTTTTTCTCTCTTGTCATGCCCATTCACAGGCTTGAATGAAAAACCTACTTATTAGTAAGACTATACAATTAACTCCTCACTACATTCTTTTCAGTGTGAAGGGAAATATATGCAATCATGTTGAACTCTATAGTTAATCATATGATTTTTCTATAAATAAAACAAAGTGGTTACTCCTACAATGAGTTCCAAATTTCAAGTTCCAAAAATGGTGTTTTATCTTTCAGTGCTAGTGGAACTAGAGACCCAGAACACTAAATTTAGTACCATGAAATTCCTCTGAGACTTCTGAATTTAAAACTACAGTTCATTACTGTTTGAACCTTGGTATCGGGATCAGTAGTGTGAAGGCAGTAGCTGATTCTACACTCCTCAGAAAGATCTACCACTCATACAGGTGGTCTCTGTAAGAGAAGAAAATGTCCCATCACATTAGAAAATATCACAATTGTGAGGGTCTTGGGGCTCTGGTGACTAAACCACATATGTGTCCTGGTTTCATCTACAAAAAACTTAATTTTCTTTCTAGTAGCTAGTATGGTACCAGGTTTTAGATTTATTTTTACATTGTTGCATTGAAATGACAATGATGACACTACATAATTCACTGATCCAGGTACTATGAGATTCATCTTTTCATAGAATGGTTCAGATTTAGCCCTCACCATGGGCAGAGACACCTTCCACTAGACCAGGTTGCTCAAAGCCCCATCTAACCTGGCCTTAAACACTTCCAGGGATGGAGCATCCACAACTTCTCCGGGCAAGTGATTCCAGAGCCTCACTACCCTCACAGTAAAGAATTTCTTCCTAATATCTAATCTAAATCTACTCTCAGTTTAAAGCCATTCCCCCCCCATCCTATCCCTACATGTCCTTGTAAAAAGTCCCTTCTCAGCTCTCTTCTCCAGGTTGAACAACCCAAATTCTCTCAGCCTGCCTTCACAGAAGAGGTGCTCCTACCCTCCTTTTCTCCTGTTCTGAAAAATATCATCCTTGAATACTAGATTAAATTACATTCTAATTCTACTTTAATGTATTCCCCAATCAATTCAAATAAATTTAGCTAACTCACTTAAGTTACTCTTTCTTACACCAATATTAATTAGTGCACAATGTGGTCAAGTTTATCACTTTTGACAATGAAGCAGTGCATCTGCAAGTCTACATTATGTGGTATTCTATTAACTTACTAAAAATTTTTTGTTTATACGATGTCTATCCAGGCTTAGGCACCTTAAAACAAAATAACACTTTAAGAATCCCCTTGCTGAATTTAAGAAATTCAGTTTCCCATGTAATAGTGCTCATTGGTGGGTAACTAAAGATTATCTGAAACTAAAATGTTGGAGGAGAACTGCTAAATCCTTAATGGCTATATAGAAAGCCTTCAGCCATTCAAAGCAAGCCTTTAAGAGGCTAATCTCAAACAGCATGAGCTTGCCATTGATTTCTGAGGGCAGAGGATATTTGGAAAAGGTGAATAGTCTTAAAATACTTGTTAAGAATCAGAGATAAATTAGATTTTTAGGGCTGCCTTAGAGGTGGGATCACTGTGAGATGGGAATCGGACGAAAGTTACCTTTGTAGTATTGACACACAAGGAAGAATTCACAAAAATAAAATATTCTTGAATAATTTTGAAGACATTTGAATAATACTAAATTGAAAAGAGAATCATAACGGAAAGAATTTGATGCAAATAAACTCCCCATTTCTCATGACTCTCACATCCTTGATTCCTAATGATTCCTAGCACAATAAAATATAATGAGTAAGGAATGACAGCTCAATTTCATGCTCTTCAGCAGGAGTAGCTGGGTCATGCTCACAAATGAGAAAGCTTGAAGCCCAGATCATTCCAAAATTGCCCTGCAACAGTGATTGTGCATTTGTATTACTCTTCATGTTTTCTGTTGAGAGCCAACAAACCATTCAGTGCCTTCTGAAGCACAAGTGTGTTATTTTTAAAAGATTAATGGTTCTGCAGAGCAGTAACATATATAATTAGGAAGCTTGTATTCCTACTTTTAACCTGATTCAGTACCCAAGACTTGAAAGAAATGTAGAATTTGACATTCTAATTGAGTTCTGTCAAAATATGAACCAAAAGCAATTTAGTTATATAGCCCACAAGAAAGTAGAATGAAAGCACGACCAAAATTAGCTTGATCTAGTCAGAACCTTTTTATCAGATAAGACAGGGGTGAAATTATGAAGAACAGTAATATAATTGTTGAATCTGGAAAAAGTAGGAACTGTATCACAAATGGAAGGCTACGGCTAATGGCAGTGTTTATGGTAGATACTTGAAAGGTAATGGAGCCTGCAGTGGTTAGCATGGCAATAAGCTAAAGCTAAGCCATTATAGTCAAAATAGTATGTAACTGTAACCAGCAGGTACCCATAAATTCTAAGATTACTGCACAGGATGTTTAGAGCTGTCTGAATAGCTGTTTCTTGATTAACCAAAAAAAAACCAAAACGCAAACACACCAGACCATCAAGGGCAATCACAACTGTTCTTTATATTTGCATTTTCTTGGATTAGTGTGGGAGATGGGTTTTATTTTCCCATTAATGTTTTAATTTTTCCCCACTAACGCTATGTCTGTATCTAAGTTGGCCCTGACTGTGTCTGAAACCAGGAATTGAAAAGGAATACAAATATGGTGTGTTACGGTATGCAGAAGTTTAACATATCTCATCCAAGAGATGTTGTTGAAATATTGATTGTAACAACTTGCCATAAAACTTGTGTTAATCTTTTTTCTTTTACTAGTTATTAATCTCTGAGAGTATTTTAATGATTAAAAAGTAATTCTAACATTGTGATAAATATTTAGTGCATGTAATGTATTTCAGAGTAGCATATGTATGTAGGCAAAAAGAAGGGGGAAAGCATCCTGTGGAAAATCAGGATGCAGCAAATAAAACACAGATATCATGGGAGATAAAGTACTCTAGAAAATTGTAGGGACTAGAAATTTGGGGTTGCAGAAAAAATGATTAGCTTGTTCCAGAAATTCCAAGGGAAACTAGCATCTTTCTAAGTCATAATTCTTTAATTATGTATCTTGAGTAAACTGTCAAGAAATGCAAAATAGTATGTTATGAACTAATGTAAAGATATCAGAAAGATATTAAAAAGAAAATTCCTAAAAGGTTTTCTTACTTTTTATGGGTTAAATTATAATCTTGAAAACATAGGTGATTCCTCTACTCTCTACTCAGCACTGGTAAGGCATGTCTAGAGTGCTGTGTCTAGGTCTGGGCTCCTCACTAGAAGGAAGACATGGACATACTGAAGCCAGTCCAGCAAAGGACATGAAGAGGATTAAAGGCTTGGAGTATGTTTCATATGAGGAAAATCTGAGGGAGCTGGGACTGTTCAGCCCAGAGAAAAGAAATCTTAGGCTTGTCCATGTGTA